AATACCAGCAAAGGACAACATCTGCCGTTAAGTTCTCCTATATCTAAACCATATATCACCCCAACGTTTAAATTTATGGTCCCATCACCCAATACGATCATAAGATTACTGATATGTTATCGATCAGGCAGATCAATCACCGAGTCAATACATTAAATACAGGCTTCACTTCCTTGAACTGTCGAAATCACTGGAGATAAGGAAGTTGACCAATGTTTGGTGTATTTTACTGTCCACACTTAACTTGAGTGGTAGCGTCATTTATATTGTATATATATATATATATATATATTGTATATATATATATATATATATATATATATATATATATATATATATATATATATACACCTATCTCACTCTATATTTTTTTTATCTCTCTCTCTCTAAATCTAATCCAAAATATTCTATGTCTGTCTGTCTGTCTTTCTGTCTTTCTGTCTGTCTGTCTGTCTGTCTGTCTGTATATATATATATATATATATATATATATATATATATATATATATATATATATATATATATATATATATATATATATATATATATATATCGATAGACGTGTTGCAGTAAGAAAACATGTCCCACATCAAACAGAAAACGACAGTCACGTGACTTTCGAGATTTCCATTTGTCCCTGAGTGTTACATAAAAATATCCCCCACCCTTACCCCTGGACCTACGTACAAGTACCATGTCACGGTGACATGGCCTATATGTGCCCAATAAATTCATGTGCCTGGTAGACAAATAGCTTTTGATTTCAAAAGTAAACGAACGGTTTTTTTTATTTAAACATCTTCATGCAAGTATAATTTTTTTTTTCACGTAACTGATTTAAAAACGGGTTCTAATTAAAAAGATTGATGCAACAGTTTTCCAAAAATTTAAAAAGTTTGTTGACAAACAAGTAAACAGAGTAAGGTAAGCAAAGCTACCAGTAATACAATGTTATAGGGCGGCCAAGTGGCCAAAACTGTGTTGTGAGTGGCCCTACCATACAAGACATCAAGTGGCCAAAACTGTGTAGTGAATGGCCCTACCATACAAGAGAGCCAAGTGGCCAAAACTGTGTTGTGAGTGGCCCTACCATACAAGACACCAAGTGGCCAAAACTGTGTTGTGAGTGGCCCTACCATACAAGAGGGCCAAGTGGCCAAAACTGTGTTGTGAGTGGCCCTACCATACAAGACACCAAGTGGCCAAAACTGTGTTGAGAGTGGCCCTACCATACAAGACATCAAGTGGCCAAAACTGTGTTGAGAGTGGCCCCACCATACAAGACACCAAGTGGCCAAAACTATGTTGTGAGTGGCCCCACCATACAAGAGGGCCATGTGGCCAACAGCGTACAACGAATTATCCCACCTGACACAACAGAGTGACCCAACAACCTGTGTGGTTACCAGACTTAACATCACGTTTGGGCGGCTGAACAGTTTGTTCTAGTTTAAAAAAAAAAACAAGTGAGGTTTTCGTTCACTGCACAAGTACAAACATGGTGAACATAATTCACACTGACTCCACCAAAACTAGCTGACTCCACCAAAACTAGCTGACTTCACCAAAACTAGCTGACTCCGCCAAAACTAGCAGACTCCATAAAAAACTGACTCCGCCAAAACTAGCTGACTCCACCAAATCTAGCTGACTCCACCAAAACTAGCTGACTCCACCAAAACTAGCTGACTCCACCAAAACTAGCTGACTCCACCAAAATTAGCTGACTCCACCAAAATTAGCTGACTCCGCCAAAACTAGCAGACTCCATAAAAAAACTGACTCCGCCAAAACTAGCTGACTCCACCAAAACTAGCTGACTCCACCAAAACTAGCTGACTCCACCAAAACTAGCTGACTCCACCAAAACTAGCTGACTCCACCAAAACTAGCTGACTCCACCAAAACCAGCTGACTCCACCAAAACTAGCTGACTCCGCCTAAATTAAATGGCAGACAGAAACTCCACACAAATAATAACGTGTCCTGAACCACCTTTCCCCTTCCCCCACCCATCAAGCTATACAGCCCCCGCCCCCGTCCAGACCATTGCCATTACGATTAACATATGTATTTGCACGGATTATTTCCCTTGCTTGTCAGTAAACTGCCCCTCTGTCAGTGACGACAGGACACCTTAGTGCAACTTGGTGTCGGCCAACACAGTGGACACAACCACAGACACACTGAGACACAGCCACTTGGTGTCGGCCAACAATGTTGACACAACCATAGACACACTGAGACACAGCCACTTGGTGTCGGCCAACAATGTTGACACAACCACAGACACACTGAGACCACTTGGTGTCAGCCAACACAGTGGACACAACCACAGACACACTGGGACCACTTGGTGTCGGCCAACAATGTTGACACAACAACCGCCGACACACAGACAGTTTTAAATCTGACGACTCACTCCACACAGCAACTAACGTTTTTCATATCAAATTTTGACAGACCAAAAAAAATAAATCGAGAATTTAAAGTATTTTTTAATAACCACAGATTGCCCCCCCCCCCCCACCCACCCCCACACACACCCACAAATAAAAAGAGTTGTTATCCTTTAACGGGGAAGACTTGTTTTTCTTTTTAACTATGCATGCAATAAAATGTCCACGTTATTTTTAAAAGAATATAACAAAGATTATATTTATAGTTCGTTTTAAGTTATGCTCTTTTGTTTCATCTTTTAGGTTAATGCACGCCCATTTTAAATTTAAGACAATTTTACATGACATGACGATTTGGTTAAACTAAAGAAAAATTCTCGTAATAAAAAAATAAATAAATAATGAATGCATTTTATAAGTGCGTTTTCATATTATTGTGCTTTTTTTTTTTTTTTTACATTTTTTTAAAGAAAACTTGCTTTAAAAAAAACTTACTTTTTGGAAAACTGCTTTTTAAAAAAACGACAACAATACAGGGTCTATGTGTGAAAAAACTCTCTGCTGGAAACTACTCAGGGTAGGGTTTAAAAGATCAGCTCTCTTAAGCTCCACTTTACAGTTATTAATTTTTTACAAGACTTGAAACGTGTGAGATGATTACTTGCCATGGTAACCACAGACAAAACTAAATTTACTGGGCTGGCACAACAGGGAGATCGAAACAGGGGGGGGACAATTCAGTTCAGGGGAGGTAAGCCATACAAGGGGGAAACAAGTCAGTTCAAGGGAGATTATGCAATACAGGGGGGACAATACAACCTAAAAAGGCAAGATGGGGGACAATTTAGCTCAAATAAGACATGATAATGAGAACAATTTATTTCAAGGAAGTCAAGATGTGAGGGTGGGGATGGGGGGGGGGGGTGGGAGGGGGATTTAGTCCATGTAAGGTTAGACAATGGAAACAATTTATTTCAAGGGAGACAAGATCGGAGAAGGAGAACAATTTAGCCCAAGTAAGGCAAAACAATGGGAACAATTTAATTTATAACAAGGAAGCTAAGATGTGGATAGTGTGTGTGGGGGGGGGGGGGCAAAATAGCCCAATTATAGCCAGACAATGGAAACAATTTATTTCAAGGAAGCTAAGATGTGGATAGTGTGTGTGGGGGGGGGGGGGGCAAAATAGCCCAATTACAGCCAGACAATGGGAACAATTTATTTCAAGGAAGCTAAGATGTGGATAGTGTGTGTGTGGGGGGGGGGGGGGGGGGCAAAATAGCCCAATTATAGCCAGACAATGGGAACAACTTATAAGAAGGAAGCTAAGATGTGGATAGTGTGTGTGGGGGGGGGGGGGGGGCAAAATAGCCCAATTATAGCCAGACAATGGAAACAATTTATTTCAAGGAAGCTAAGATGTGGATAGTGTGTGTGTGTAGGGGGGGGGGGGGGCAAAATAGCCCAATTATAGCAAGACAATGGGACCAACTTATACCAAAGTAGACAAGAAAGGGAGAGTAGACCAAGGGAGATAAACACGAACCAGTACCGTTGGCTGGCAGCTGTTGACACACAACCACATGTATTCCCGTTCTTAAGGCGAGATAACCCCTGGCCTAGGAGAGGGAGGGGTTGTGGTGTGTCAAGTACACTATGAATGTAAACACCATGAATGTACACATCATGAATGTACACATGAATGTACACATGAATGTATACATAAAAACTACACTTCATGAATGTACACATAAAAACTACACACCATGAATGTACACATGAATGTACACATCATGAATGTACACATAAAACTACACATCATGAATGTACACGTAAAAACTACACATCATGAATGTACACAGAATCTACACACAATAAATGTACACATAAATGTACACACCATTAATGTACACATCATGAATGTATACATAAAAACTACACATCATGAATGTACACATGAATGTACGCACACCTGCGTGTTATTTACACTTCAACGTTTTAGATATAAAAAACAACAACAACATTACATAATTACAATCGAAGTGGCAGACAAACATGTGGGCAGTTATAACTAAATACAGACGAAAATAAACCAACACTAGCCCCATGCATTCAATATACAAAACATTGTTATAACCATAAACACAGACACACGCATGGGTATTAAGAGTGATAAAAATAGTATATAAAGACAAGAATAAAGACATTAACAACGACATACGTAGAGTCGTGAGGAAAAAGACATAAAAACAGGACTCAAGATATATGAATAGAATGCTCGAACAAGAAGAGAGACTTGAAGACAGACATCAAGATGGACATAAAGACTTATTGAGACAGGCATTAAGACAGACATGCAGACTGACATGAAGACAGACATGAAGAAAGACATGAAGACAGACATGAAAACAGACATGAAGACAGACAGACATGAAGACATACATGAAGACATACATGAAGACATACATGAAGACAGACATAAGGACAGACAGTCATGAAGACAGACAGACATGAATACAGACAGACATGAAGACAGACATGAATGACAAAGTCAGCCATAAAGACAAAGAGACAGACATGAAGACAGACAAAGCAACTCACCATCCTCCTCTAAAGGCATAGCTGACTGTTCACCGACTGAGGCCATGATACACCAAGTCGCGATACAACAAAAAATCGATTACACAAGAATGCAATCCGATTACAGGGAAGCACACACAGTATCGCTAATTGAATTTGCCAATATCCGTAGGGTGCGAATACAGGCGCTGCCGGCAGAGTTTATGTGACAGACGTGGGGTCAGTCCGGTCAATGACGTCACGCACGTGATTTTTTTAAGTACTGAGACCGGACACTTCCGAGTTGCCGCCTAATTATAATCCACCACAAAAGAAATTACTCCGGTCCTTTTAGGTATGATACACAACAAACCACTTTAGAAAAAAATCCTTTTAGTACTCACAGCTGAAGTGAACACACAGAAATATGTATAGATGGCCGATTTTTAAAAATTTTACTTGAAATTTTGAAACCAATCCAAGTTTGTATAAAAGAAATCCATTTCTTGGATTCTGGTCCCGAGAGTACGATTACTCTGTGACGTCATGTCTATTTTTAGCCATCACGTTCCCTCCTTGAGTTCTCCGTTCAGGGAATACCCTATCGCTTGGCTCAGATCTGTAATAGAAGGAAAAAATATATAGATGAGTAAATTCAATTTTTCTTATGCATGGTTAGTTCCCCTGCTCAACGGGTTAGTGGCCAGGGGAGGGAAGTAATGGGTTTTAAATGCTAAAGGGAAACTACTGATGCAGGAGCGAAATTATAAAACTGTAGGAGGTATGGGGGAGGGGGGGGGTATGGATGGTTTAAGAAGATTGGGTATCTGAAGTCAATAGGTTGTCAGTGGATGTGATTTTCTGATAGAAATGTGATCAGATATATAGGAAGACGAGTAACAATCATGGGTAGCTTAAGTCAATGGGTTATCAATCAATGTGATTTCAGTTAGATAGAAATATGATCAAGTCTATGACATGTAACAATCATGGGTAACTTTTAAATCAAAGAGTTTATCAATCAATGTGGGAGATGTTAGTGATAGATAGAAATGTGATCAAGTCTATAGAGGCACATGCAACAATCATGGGTAGCTTACAGTCAATGGGTTATCAATCAATGTGATTTCAGTTAGATAGAAATATGATCAAGTCTATGACAAGTAACAATCATCGGTAACTTTTAAATCAAAGAGTTATCAATCAATGTGATTTCAGTTAGAGATAGAAATGTGATCAAGTCTATAAGGGCACATGGAATAATCATCGACCAAGGTGTGTTTTTTCTTTACAATTTACATAGCACAATGTACCATGTTAGTTATTAATGACTTAGCTAAATGTACACTGGTTTAAGGACGTGTAAAACTTTAGTGTTGGGTTGGAGAGGGTGGTAGGTAAAGGTTGAAGCAGATAACGATTTGACATGTGACACACACGGTGATTTGACATGTGACATACAGGCTGACTTTTACTTGTGTCACTAATGGCAACTGGAACTTGAGTCACACGAGATGACTTTGACTTAAGTCACTCAAGTTGACTCTGACTTGAGTGACAGAAAATGACTTGAGCTTATCACACATGATAATTTTGACTTGAGTCACACAAAATGACTTTGACTTGAGTCACAAAAGTTGACTTTGGAATCACAAAAGTTGGTTTTGACTGGAGTCACAAAATTTGACTTTAATTTAAGTCACACAAGATGACTTTGACTTGAGTCACAAAAGTTGACTTTGGAGTCACAGAAAATGACTTGAACTTATCAGACAAGATGACTTTGACTAGTGTCACTGATGGCGACTTTACACAAGATGACTTTGACTTAAGTCACTCAAGTTGACTCTGACTTTGACTGGAGTTACACGAGATGACTTTGACTTGTATCAAGCAATATGACTTAAACTTGAGTCATCCGACATATTGCATTTCATGGTGTAGAAGAAAAGAGCCCCTTTATATTGTGAAAAAAAGATACACAACGGTGATACTAACGTGTACATTAAAAAATTGATTTTATAGGCCATACTTTTTTCTTACAAATAATACAAATCCAACAGATTTGGAAAAAAAGTTCCAATACCCCCCCCCCCCTCCACCCCCAAAACAAATCTCGCGCAACTCTTCACCCAATTTTCCAGTGTCGGCTGCCAATTTTTACCGCCATTGTTGTCGTTGATTTCTGTTGGCTTGTTTACACCAGACTGCACTGGGTGACCTTTTGTTGACAGGATGGAGAGGGCGGAGGTGGTGGGAGAGGGTGGGGTGGTGGACGCCATCCTAGCGAGAACCACTGTGTCAGCTAATTTCTGTTGGTGTCACATTTTTATCCTAGCGTGGTACTCGTTATCAACTAATTTCTGTTGGTCTCATATTTTTATCCTAGTTGGACCCACTTAACACATGCATAGCTACCATCATTTCATTAACCCTAACCATATAACGCCCCCCCCCCCGCAACATGCACACACAAAACACAGCTACAACTGACTGCAGCCTCAAAGCTAATTAACCAATTAGGCCACACGATGAAATATTCATAGATAGGGTAAAGTTAATATTTAGAACCCGTCATTCCACGGGGTAGGTGAAGTAGAGTTCACCAGTTTCTGTGACCTTTAGCATATGATAGAATAGTGTAGTCAGCATTAGGTGAAGTAGAGTTTATCTGTTTCTGTGACCTTAGCATACGAAAGGATAGTGTAATCAGCAGTAGGCTAAGCTGTCTTTACGTTCCCTAACGTGAAACAGGTACTCATCAGAGCTGGGTGTACTCCGGGACGTTGTACGGCATCAAAACCGGGATCCGATCTCGAGACCTTCAGGCTAGCAGTCGTGCGCTCTACCGCACAACCACTCCATCCCATCATACATAAAATTATTCAGTACTGTAAAACTCAATTTTTTTCCGTGCACCACCTCACCACATCGGAGTCTTCTAGAAAAACTGAAGACAGCAGGAATGTCTTGGGAGGTTGGAAAATCAACATCCGGGGACTGGACAAAATGGGAGGTAATGGTTGAGGCCGTATGTTCCACAAGGAGTAAAGAGGATTAAGTCAAGTAAGTCCTGCTCACCATACCCACCCTAAATTCACCGCCTCCTTAAACACAACCCACTAGGATCCCACCATAATCGCCACAGCTACTTCAACTAACCCCAGCCCTATCAACAAAACCCCACAGCAACATCCATCACCCTACAGCTCCAATAAGAATTAACGAACACCCTCCCTAATCCCAAAGCACCCCCCCCCCCCCCCCAACCATCAACGACCGCACCCCTCTAACCATCAAATAAGCCACCAGCCCAATCAAAAGTTAAACCCAGACGCCCAATTAAAAAACCACCCCCTACTAAGACTCCACCACCGGGAAAATCATTCCCCAGGAAAGAAATCGTTTCCTCTTATTCAGTCAGGTCATGTTGACCTAAACATCCGGTTTCGTTTTCAAGTCACGTTTCCAAGGGCAACGTGTTGACTGTAGGGACCCTGACGCTCGAGGGTACTGCGACACTTCCTAATGACGGGGAAAACTTCTTTCCAGTCATTTCGATAAGATAAAATCAATAGATACTTGATAATCTCTGAAATCAATATCGGAACCGAAATTGCAAAACGTTTAATGGTGTGTTCAAGTAGTTTAGTTTTTATCCCTAACAGCGTGTTCAGGTGGCTTTACTTTTAAAAAAACACGACTATTTTTAGAAAGCCAAGAAGTGACAAATGCGTCAAATTTGTAATGGATCTAAGGGTTTACTACAGACATTGGATGTACACATTTTTAAAAAGTGTGTACACACCGCTAAGAAATGGATCTTAGATGAATGCCTGTTTAACAGATAAAACAACGCCCACATATGATTAGAAGATACAGTGACCCTAGTATCTGTGATCCTGATTTTTTTTAACCACACACTTTTTTTTGTACGGACGCGATACGGACCTAGATTCTACATTACTAAGGATAATTATAGCCCATAGGCCATTCTTATTGTTACTGTCCCTAGAGCCAACATTATTGAGACTAATTATTGCCCCTTGGACCACATTGACATTGTAATGGCTAGTTATTGCCAGTAGGTTCGACACCGTAAGAGCTTTTAATTGCCTCTTTTTAAGAGTTTCTTTCAGGTATCTCTTCTGATGGAGAGCTGGGGGTAGCCATGCTATTACCACCCCCCTCCCCCCGCCCTAGCCCCGAACTGAATGAACTAAATAGAATTTACATAGAAGATATATGCTTTTTAAAGTGTGTGTGTCCCCCCCCCCCCCCCCTCGAGAAAATGTCTGAAAGAAACACTTCCTCTATTGGCACTCCCACCTCAACCCCCTACAGATAAAAGTCTGAAAGAAACACTGTCTCTATTGGCCCATCTGTAATGGCAAGTTACTAACCCCTGAAGCCACCATTTAAATAAGCAATTTATTGTCCCCTGAGGCCGCCATTATACGGGCTCTAGTCTGACCAGCAGTTTGAGAAGCACTGCCCCCCCCCCCCCCCCCCAGGGTTAAAGCACTAAGACGACACGACAACTCTCGCCGTGTACGTGTCCATGAGGCCGCCATTATCCCGGTCTAGTCTGACCAGCAGTTTGAGAACCACCTCCCCAGGTTACAACACTAAGACGACACGACAACTCTCGCCTTGTACGTGTAGTGGGGCCGCCATTATTCGGGCTCTAGTCTGACCAGCAGTTTGAGAACCACCTCCCCAGGTTACAACACTAAGACGACACGACAACTCTCGCCGTGTACGTGTAGTGGGGCCGCCATTATTCGGGCTCTAGTCTGACCAGCAGTTTGAGAACCACCTCCCCCCAGGTTACAGCACTAAGACGACACGACAACTCTCGCCGTGTACGTGTCCACAAACCCACGACGCCGCCATTATTCGGGCTCTAGTCTGACCAGCAGTTTGAGAACCACCTCCCCAGGTTACAACACTAAGACGACACGACAACTCTCGCCGTGTACGTGTCCACGAGGCCGCCATTATCCCGGTCTAGTCTGACCAGCAGTTTGAGAACCACCTCCCCAGGTTACAACACTAAGACGACACGACAACTCTCGCCGTGTACGTGTCCACAAACCCCTGAGGCCGCCATTATTCGGGCTCTAGTCTGACCAGCAGTTTGAGAACCACCTCCCCAGGTTACAACACTAAGACGACACGACAACTCTCGCCTTGTACGTGTAGTGGGGCCGCCATTATTCGGGCTCTAGTCTGACCAGCAGTTTGAGAACCACCTCCCCAGGTTACAACACTAAGACGACACGACAACTCTCGCCGTGTACGTGTCCACGAGGCCGCCATTATCCCGGTCTAGTCTGACCAGCAGTTTGAGAACCACCTCCCCAGGTTACAACACTAAGACGACACGACAACTCTCGCCGTGTACGTGTCCACAAACCCCTGAGGCCGCCATTATTCGGGCTCTAGTCTGACCAGCAGTTTGAGAACCGCTTCCCACTAGATTACAGCACTAAGACGACACGACAACTCTCGCCGTGTACGTGTCCATGAGGCCGCCATTATCCCGGTCTAGTCTGACCAGCAGTTTGAGAACCACCTCCCCCAGTTACAGCACTAAGAAGACACGGCAACTCTCGC